ACTTCTATTCGTTTTGAAAACGTTTTAATTCATCATACAAACGTTCACATGATTTCACATTGAGAAGTCCCCTATAAAATCGTTTTGTAACTTCTATACTAAGTCAAGTTTTACGATTTGCACAGAGGGATATTATTATAATACCTATTTGGATGGAAATATGGAATACTCAATATTGTCCAACTATAATAATATATCTATGAGTGCGACTGTGTGACGTGACGTTCGGCAATGTGATATTATACAGGATATTCTTAAATGGCACCTATACATTTTAATTTTTAACACCGAAAAGGCGTGTGGATCGAGTGTCGTGTGGACAGTTCTCGTTGAATGACATACTATAATATAGCATGACAAATGAATTGTAGTGATAATGTGATATATATATATATATATATATAGGACCGAGGTAAAAAAAAAACAGGATGATAAAATATTGTTTAACGAAATTACCTATAATAAAATGTCACGGGATAGTTGTGTAGTGTTATTGTTGTACGCAGTTTCTCATAATATTCAACGAATGATCGCATTCTGAAAAAGATAAGATTCTGAGTATAAATTAATAAAATTGGGCTTAATATTATGCTGCAGACATTTTTTTTAAAAACTATGGCTGTATTAAAGCCGGTATTATAGACATAAACTATAATATTGCAGGCCAGCAAAATATTTTATATTTCAACATTAATTACGTGCCTTACTTCGCGGCAGCCCCTATTTTTCAAAAAAATTCGTACTACACACTTTATTTACAATGATATTATGACACAGTGACAAAGAGGACCAAGAATTTAAATTTTAATTGATATATTCTTCAGTAAAATACGGGGCATAACTTTTTATAAATTTAAGAGGGTCAAAAACATAATACAGAAATAACTAAAGGTATCCAACCTTCATAATAATTCATTAGCGATTCAATGTAGAGAAGTAATATCAATTTGTTAAAATGTAACTGAAAACAATTTATTTTTAGTATAGACGCATTTTATACATAGGAAGTTAAAAGGTTTAGAAAAAATAAATACGTTTTTCATCTTTATAAAAATGATAAATAAAAATATGATCTAATATTACCTAAAATGTTGTATTATTTTCATTTTTCAAATAAATAAGTCTTGGAATTGCCTATTGAAAACCCCTTATAAGTGGTTGTGTTGACTCTTCTTATGCTCTACAAAATACATATAATATTATATTATAGTTCGCATACAATATAAAACGACTTTTCCCGCGTCCATTAATATAATAAAATTGTCGACGTTGTGCGCCGCAGTTATAGCCTGGCTGGTTGGCTATAATAACTGTATAATAATAATAATAATATATAATATCATAGACGGTCGACAATGACTTCTTGTTCGGACTACCGACCAATAACTCGGTCATTCATTGACCTATACATATACAGTGTACACGTGCCAGTCAAGTCGTCGCTCTTAGCACGACTGTTTTATAGTCGGCCGGCAGTGACGATGACAGCGAACGTCGAACGTGATTTAATACGCCCACCGCCGTCCACGTACCTATTTAAACGTGTTGGTATATTATTATTATGAAATTATAATAGTAAATAGAGAAAAAAAATTATAAAATCATTATTAAAACAATAGCGGTGGTGCTGATCCGAACGAACGGCCGCATCAGAATTAAGTGCCAAAACTCAAATTTTGCAGGTCGGATTGCTTGCGAACTTTTATCGGGCGCATGGCTGAATTGCACGACCGAATTTCATGATATTATATTAGGCGTACAAAATAATTTAAATAAGTTTGATTGAGTATTTGAATGATTTTAATTCATTAATCGTTGTGTTTCAATATTGAAATAGGTAGGTTGGTATATCTAGGTACTTTTACAAAGATTAAATTATGTTTAGGAAATCTCAAAGAATATCGATAACTACCCTCAATTTTAGGCGTGAAATGGGTGCAGATAAAAATTTCGGAAACCAATGATTTTACATTTTTAGACAAAGTATAAAATATGTATTTAGTATTATGCATTCATGCGCTAAATAATATAGTTATATTATGTAATAGTGCTTTGACATTTATAAATAATCTTGAAGATTTTATACTAATATAATAGTAAAATTGGTGGGGGGAAAGAGCTCCCCCAAAAATACTCATATCCCCTAAAGTAAATTAGTCTCCGAACTCCATATAAATAGATATAAATTAAAAATAAATAATTAAGCATTTAGCTTATTGCACATTAAAATACTGCACTAGTGCCACTGTTGCACCATAGACACTCATAATATATTCAATACCAATATTATTTGTTAACCATAATATCACCGCTTGTCTTAATAAAGTTCATTTATATTTTATTGTCAAGTTTTATATTGACCTATTTTATAGCAGATAATTCTAATTACAGGCCACATTCAGTCAAACTTAAAAGTTGGTAGGTACCTATATTATTATTATTGATACTTTTTTAAATACTTGGTAAATGATAATACATCTGACTTTAAGTTATTAGTAAACATGACTTGAAACAAGTTGTAAACACTTTCATTGGTAATAATAAAATTAAAATTAAACTAGAGTAAAAATATTTATTTTATTTTCTATTTTTTATAATAAACATTGGTGATAAATGGCCGGAGACAAAGCTCCATTGGGTTACTTTTTAGGAATATATATGGAGGGGCTTAAGACCTATTCTCAAAATGTTGTTGGGCTATAATTGAGCCATTGAGTAATATACATTATACATGTATACACAGTGGCATCATTGAGGGGGGGGCAACTGTGGCATTTGTCCCAGTTTAGTATTTACATCAACCTTAAGTCGGCACATGACATTTACCACTACTCCCCCCCACCTTTACCACTATATCACTATGCTATGAGAATCTGAGTGGCAAAAAATGTTGAGTTTGAAAAGCAGTGAAAAGTTGCCCTGGTTTAATAAAAATTGTAATGACGCCACTGTGCATACATAGTGATAACCATCGATAATGGCAGTATAAGTAAGTAAACAATTTCATTTAATTACTACTTACCTGTGATTTAAAAAAAAAAAAATAAACTACTTGAAAATTGTAATTCGTATGGTTTATATTTTAATGGAATTATAATATGCTTATTAGTTATTATAATAATTGATATATTTTGTATTGATAAATATTACATCTTTAGTCTTCACTTTACTTGAAACCTATTACTTTACTATACTATAATGTATTTTTTTTTTAATCCAATTAATATTTAATAAAATACATAATATCTGTCTATTATAATAATATGCAATTAAATAATGATTAAAATTGTATTAAAAAACTTTCAAGATGTTGAGATTTAATTATACAAACACGAGTAATTTATAAATATTAATTCATTGAAAACATTATTCTTCAGTCTTATCTCTAGTCAGATTTAATTTTGAGCTTGGATCAATAGTCTGATCACTAAGTTATTTTTCATATATAAATCTCGTTGAAAATATTCAACATATGTTTTTAAAATGTCGTAATAATTCTTTACTTTACCTATAAAAAAAGACAGGTTGAACAGGTTGAACACCAAATAATTAGGTATGGACGGCCTATGCCCACACACCAGAATCACCACTGCATGTATTACACGCAATACATATTACGTCCTAATGTAGTTTAAAATACAAACAATATAGGAAAATAGTTTCCAATGAAATATCATTTTTTATTGCCTTAAATTGTATATTATTTGTAATTTTTTAAATTTAATGTTAATATTATAACATCAACCTCTGATAGTTTTATATCTGTGTAGTACCTATTAATTTATTAATTAGTATTTACTATCAGTAAATAACATTAAAAATGGGTTTACTTGCAAAATACAGAAGACAAATTGTCAATGTCCGATGAACTAAGTTAACTGTTCAGCATTACTTGATCAATGTTTTAATAGTTAATTAAGTTAAATAAATGTTTATTGAGATGAAAACAATATTAATAATATTAAACAAATGTCTTTTTAAAGTTATATAATATATAGTTAGGGGGACGAGGTGGCCGAGCGGTCGAACACGTCGTCTGCGGCGCTGGCGGTCACGGGTTCGATTCTCTCGGCCACTGGGCGGCATTTTTCTCCGGGCAAGTCACGGTGTCCGGAGAACAAGTGCTGCCATCCCCCACTCCGGGGCATGGCAGAAACCTACGGGTGCCCCAATAAAAATTCTGCCAAACACAACACACACGTGTAATAACCCTACAATTTCAAACCCTACTACCTACAATCAAGCTAATGGCCATAGTCGCTGGGCTTTAAAAAGATCAATTAAAAAAAAATATAATATAGTTATTACTTATTACTTATATTAATAACTATTAACAACTTTCAAATACCAAGGACCTAATATATCTTCATTACCAGTGTATATGTAGCAGATAACCAGTGAGCTGTTGGTTATCCGAGAAAGGAAATGGAACAGAAAAGGTAAATTAGTATAGAGTATGATACGCTAGAACTTTGGAATGTTTGGGTGAAATATTAAAAACATAGTCTAATTCTATCAGTCAATATATATATCGAGTAGAGAGACTATTTAATTGTAATAAATAATTGTGTATTCATATAAATAATTCAAGCCCTCCAAAACTTAAAAAATGATCTAGTGGTTGGCAGTATGACTATATTATGTATTTATGTTTATATAATTTTCCAGTGATTCATTTTACCTTGTGTAGAAGAGTAGAAGAGTAAAGAAGATAAACATTTAAAACTTGGTAAAAAGAATTATATTAAAAAAAAATCATTTTCCACAATTTACAAAGTCTAATCTTAATATTTAGTTAAAAATAGTCTTTAGTATAAGGAAACTCATTTTTAAAGTATTTAATTATTATATAATAAATAGAATAAATGCAACTTATTATAGTTTAAATCAAAATGTTGTTAATAGAATAAAATTAATGAAACGGATAAATTTAGTGAAAAAGTTATGAATACTATTTTCTAAATAATTTTTGTTGCATTGATTTAATCAATAAATTTTAATTAAAATTCAACTTCACTATTATTTGTTTTTGAAATCTTTAATTTTTGTAGTCTTTGAATTGTCTCTTCAATACTGAATTCACCATGAACATTGTTGTCTCTTGTGCGAATATTAACAGTGTTTGCAGTCTTTTCTTTATCTCCAACGACTGGAATATTAATAATTAATAAATTAAAGAAATAAATTAAAAATTACTACAAAGTTAATTAACAAAGATACAAACCAAGAATGAAGTTATATTGTGCCAATTGTGCATTGCGAATTTTTTTGTTTAAAGTATCACCGTGATCAACATCTACATCACACATAAATCCAGCCTCGTATATTTCTTTTTTTACCTATTGATAAGATTTACATTACATAAATACAATAAATTATAATACCAGGAAACAAATAAAACTTGCTTTTTCTGAATATTCGTCAAATTGAGGACCAACAGGTATTACAACAGCTTGTCTAGGTGACAACCAGAATGGCCATTTTCCAGCAAACGATTCAGTTAAAATAGCTATCATTCTTTCTACTGAACCAAATATAGCACGATGTATGATTACTGGGCGTTTCTTTTCTCCTGATTCACTACAGCAAAATGCATGAATTGTAGAATAATCATTGTATAATTTATAAATTAATTATTGACATTTGCTAACAATTAAGGTTTTAAATTAAATACCTGATAAAGTTTAAATTAAACCGAATTGGGAGCTGGAAATCAAGTTGTATGGTAGCACATTGATGTTGGCGTTTTAAAGCATCAGAAATAGTTATATCAATTTTTGGTCCGTAGAAAGCACCATCTCCTGGGTTTAATGCCCATGGTTCACCAAATGAATTTAAGCTATCAGCTAATTGCTATTAAAATATGTAAAGAAAAATTAGAAACACGTTATAATAAAATAATTTATGTAAGCTAAATAAATTATTAAACACATAATATTAGGCATTTTGAAATCTACTTTGTATAAATAAAATGTTAACATTTAACCATTTCAGCATTTTCCCACATTTCCAACTCGCCTAAATACTTTTCAGGTCTTGTAGATAATCGAAGATGGAATGTAAATCCAAATACAGTATATACATGACGTAAAAAGTCTAATGAACTCATCATTTCTTGACCAATCTAAATCAAATAACAATAAATTAATATATTTGAATATTCCGTTTAATCTGATTTTGTCTAACTTGTTCAGTAGTACAAAATATGTGAGCATCGTCTTGCTGAAAACGTCGAACACGTGTTAATCCTGTTAAAGCCCCTGATAACTCATTACGATGAAGTACACCAAAGTCTGCCATTCTAAGTGGCAGTTCTCTCCATGATCTATTACGATGATCAAACATTAAACTGTAAACAATTGTATAATATTTTACATTGTAACAGATTATATATTGTTCTTCATTACCACAGAAAATTGAACTTATTATTTAATTAATTAAATAAAAAAAAATCTATGTATTTACCAATGGCCAGGACAATTCATTGGTTTCAGAGCATATGTTTCTTTCTCAACATCAAATGAGAACATGTTTTCCTGGAAATAAAATTAATTTTAATTAACATTTACAATTTACAATTATAAGCTAAACAAAATATAAGATATGTTAAGTGTACCATACAGTTCTCAGTTCAAGAAAAAAGTTTTTATGCAAATAAAACATTTTTTGAATATATAAGGACAAAGTTATAGTGAATAAAATATATAAGTTAATGATTTTTACTTATATTTGCACATAATATTATAAGAGTTATTCCCAGATGCATAAAAGATCTTAAAACATTTAATGGACAATGAGCCGTTTTAATGTCTCGCTAAACAAATTTGTTCTTTAGATATTTAAGAGTCCGTTAAATCAGAGTCTGTCACCTGATTAGGGCTGAGCTATTATTCGATATCCATATAATCGATATGTAGAAAATGTTTTCGATTATAATCGGTTATTTTTTTATACATAAATTTTCATAAATTATAATCGATACTTTTTACACTATAATTGGTTATTATTTAGACATAAATTATAATAGGTTATAATTGGTAGATAATATTAATTTTTACACTCAATTAATAATACATTATTATCTGAGATTAAGTGTAACAACTAAACCTTGATTATTTGATAATTATTACAATTAAGAGGACGCTACCCATACATTTGTTGATTTTGTCTTACATACGCAGTCGACATAGCAAATTGTCGTTCACTAGTTTCAATAGTGTGCTGTTAGTTTGAATACTAGAGAGAATTGACCTTATATAAATCTTTTAGGTAAGAACATTATCTGTGTTCAAGCGTTGCCGATTTTTCGAAATTTGCATTTTCAAGCAAGATATGGTTATGTGAAATATCAAAAAATTAAAAATGTTCATACCTCGCTTGAAAATTAAAATATCGAATAAAAGTCAATGCTTAAGCACAGATAATGTAATTATCTAAAAAAAATGAAAATAGGTTAAATTACTCTATATAAAAACTTACAGCATACTATTTTCAATAGTGAACTAAAATTTGCTGTCGTACGTGCGTAAGACGGCGAAAACAAATGCATGGGTAGCATCCTCTTAATAGGAATATAGTTAGAGAAACGAATACTAAATACTTAATATTGTTTATAAAAAGAAACAGAGACCAATTCAATTTAGTATATTTATGGACACTTCTGGGCACTGACCAAATATAAAAACAAAATAAATGTTGCTCCTCTCTCTTAAAAAAAACCTTTTCCATTGAGATAGTTGGTCTATGTGTATACTATTCTACCCATTTTGTTCATAGTTCATACTCTTACCAACCACTCATTTCATCACCATCATACCACCTGATTACTCTGTTAAGTATTTCTGCATATTCCTATTATAAACTATAAAAGATAATTGAAAATATTATAAAACCTTTTTATTGTATTATTATTTATTTACTACAACAGAACACTAATAACAATGAAGGATCATCTCAATTCTTAGTACATACTAGTATACTACATAATAACTTTATACAATATAGAACAACTTGACCATTTTGTTTTGTAACTAAATGAATTTAAATTAAATTAAATTCCTTATAAATAATAAAATAAAACACTCTGTATTGTAAAATCATAAAAAAAAAAAATAAAATGTTTATTTAAAATATTGGCTTAGGGACATAATCTTTATTCATCGTTAAGTATATTAGTTGGCTTGCATGTTCATTGCTTGATGATGATCTGAGATCTGTTAAAATGCAGTCACCTTTGCTGAACACACATTATGTGGACCGTGACCGCTAACGAGAACATTTTATATTTCATGTTAGGTATATTTGTAAAATATTTTTAATTATAATTTATAAATAAATCTCAGTTATAGTTAATTTTTGATTATTTATAAAGTATGAAAATAATCAATTAAAATTATGGATTATATAAAATAACCGCGCAGCCCTACACCCGATATCAGATTATTATATTTTAAAGACTGTTAAATAAAAGCTGAAAAGAAACTAGGTTAACTTACTGCGTAATGTGCCCAATGACCAGATGTTTGCCATAACTTAACATTGTAAATATTCGGCGATACTACTTCTTGAAAACCGCGTTTTCTGTATTCACTTTTAATGAACTCAATTAAAGTATTATAAATATGAGCACCTTTTGGTTGGAAGAAACAAGATCCTGGACTTAATTCATGGAAGAAAAATAGTTCTTGTTCCTAGTATATAGTTATAAACACAATTAGTTTCTATTCACTTAATTATATCATAATCATAATAATAATACAGACTCTTCCAATTTTACGATGGTCTCTTCTAGCAGCTTCTTCTTGGAATTTTTCCCATTCTTTCATTTGCTTATTGTCCGAAAATGAAATACCATAGACACGTTGCAATGTTTCAGCCGTGGAATTTCCTTCCCAATAAGTTGCAGAATTCTACAATAAAAAAAATGTTATTTCAATAGTAATACAATATACTAATAATTAAAAAAAAAAGTCATATTTACTTTGACAACTTTAAAAGCTTTGACTTTGCCTGTATGACGAATATGTGGTCCCCTGCATAAATCAATTAATGGCCCACATCGGTAAACAGTAGTTGTTGGTGTTGTAACTTTTTCGTTAAGGATTCTCACTTTAAACTCATTGTACTAAATAACACCACAATAAAAATAAGTACAACTAATTTTTTTTTAATTTTATTATAGTGAATTATTTAATTTTCTTTGGTATAATTCAAGATGAATCATACTGATGATGATTTTAAATATAATTGTTATTAGAATGATGTTTTATTTTATTATAATATAGATATTATAATAATTATCCACTTATTAATAAATGCAAATTATAATGTTTATAAACGTTAAAGCACTTTATTAATTTAATGAGTTTTCTAGGGTGCAGTAAATGGCATATTTAGTTGGCTACATCCAATATATTATATAAAATAAATTGTAATATCTAAATTAATAGTTTGGTCATTTTACTAATTATATAAGAATACACTTATAAATATATTATTTACTATCTTATAAATTAATCTATTACATGAGTTTTAATTAACAAATATAAATATTTTTGCCCACCTAAAAACTTAATTTAAATCAACTATTAATTTAAAAAAATGATTTATTCTAAAGCTTATTAAAAACAAGGTTAAACACCAATATATCAATAAACATATTTTGAATATTACCTTGAACATTTCCAGTAGATCTTCTTTACTAACTTCAAGCCGTTCAAAAGGTTGTTTTTCTTTAACAATTTGTTTGACAAGATTTTCCATAACAGGAAAATCAAAGTTTGATACCTAATAAACACATGTAATTTATAAAAAATACATACTAATCATTCTTATGCTTAGAGGTATATATTATAAAATTAAATACATATTATATTGATTATTTATAATAAAAGATAATTACTCCTTTGTTCTCAATAAACATATCATAGTAAAATCCTCCTTCAATAGGTGGTCCATAGCACAAACATCCACCATATATTCTTTCCATCGCCTCACCTAGCATGTGAGCAGATGAATGCCAAAATACTTTTTGAGCCTCTTCGTTATCAATTTTGAGTAACTGCAATGTTGAATCTTTTTCCAATGGTCTATCCAAATCCCAAAGCTCTCCATTAACCTTAGCAATTACGGTATTATCGGCAAGTCCTTGACTGCAAACATATTTAAAAATTGAATTATATGTAAAAAATACATATTGATAAAAAAATTAGGTTTAATTCCAAACCTAACGCCTTTGGCTACATCATATGGTGTAGATTGCCAAGCCTTAGCGTTAGTGGTTTTTCCATCAGGAAATGTTACAGTTATAGGTTCCAGTATCTTATTGGCTAGTTCATTATTATATTGTTCCTTAAGTTTATCCCAAAGCTTCAAACGATCCTAAAATAAAAAAAATTATGATAAAGTATGTATAATATATAATTGTATACAATTGTTTAAAAGTATTTAATTACATTTTTATTAAAAAATATTTGGCCGTATGTAACTGAGTTTTAGACCAAAATATTTATATAGTTATGTAGTTCTAAACATTTTAGTTTGAAAAAAAATGTTTTCCTACATATCTATTGAAAATAGAATTCAAATTTGTAATAAAAATTTCGATACCAGAAAGGTACTTGTTTGTTCTTGTCCCACCACCAAGCCTTACAATTTATCATCCTGCCACTAGACGGCCTTATGTTAACACTTCTGCAGTCTTTACCATTTCTAAAATCTAAAGTCCCCATATTTTTATGATATTTTACGTTTAGGTAAATCCAGTATGTGATAAATTTATGGAAAAAAAGGTAATTACTTATCTGTTATAATATTTTAATCATGTAACTATGTTAATATGTTGTCAACATGTTGTTTTGTTATATCGTAGGTGTATAATTTAAAGTGGGTACCTATCTTACAAATGTGAATAGCTTATTATGAATATTGTTAAAAATTAATTTAAATGAATTATTTTTGCAATGTTTAATACTAACATTCAACTTTTACAACAAAAATAAATTGTTAAAACAGATAAAATATGCGAAATTTAAGGAACTTTATAAATCTGTCATATTCTTTTAAGTGTAATTATGAGATATCATTACAATTACTAACTATGTTGCTATTAATTGTAAACAATTTATTGTTATTATTTACTTTTATTTGAAAGTTTTGTAACATTATATTATAGAAAACTTCAAAGTACAACAGATGTTCAACCCGGTGGTGGGGCAATAACAAACCAGTACACTAAAAATAATTATTGATTTGCTTTTGGTACATGAATTGTATAAATTGATGTGAGTGCACAAAAATATTTTTGTATGCAGTGCACGAGCAACAATTCATACATTCGCCCTTTGTGCACTAGAAACAGTTCAATTTTTAAAATATTCAGTAACCAAAATTATACTAATAAAATGTAAATCAATTAAAAAAGTCTTATAAGTCAAAAGCAGTAAAATATTATAGTAAATAGACATAAATTTAATCGACTATTCTAACCTCAATGTAGGATGGCCAAGGTTTCAATTCTGAAACTTGCGACTGTTTTCCTTCCTTTTCCTTCAATGCCATTTTTTTCTTACTCGGTTTCTAAAAAAATAAAAAACAAACTAGATATAGTTATTATTAGATACAATAATATTATAATTATAGAATTAAAACAAGTTTTTTTTTAAATTCACTAAAAGGATAAATAATAGAATATACAAAATTGAAAAAATAGTTTTAGAAGTTTCAATTTATTAAAAAGTACTATAACAAAGCTAAGTTTACCTAATATAGTCACTTCTATATTAATAACTAATAAGCGTTTCTAAGTAAATTGAAATTTATTTGAGTTTAAATACCTAATAAATTGTTATTTTTTTCAAACACAAAAATAATTCTTTTTTTATATGTTAGATGGTATATTATTTATAAAAGGTTCTTGTTAGTTCATCTTATGAACCGCTTTTTATAAATACTAATTACACATTGCACTAAAAGTTACCTACTGTATATTACAGTTAGATTGTTAGAATATGATTATTGATTATAAACATATTTTAATATAATAATTTATATCATAGTATAACTGATCATCACACATATCTACATATATGATCTCTTATACTATTTACAGGCAATAAATTAAGGACAAATTGTTACAAATTATAATGTTTTTAACGACAACATTTTAGTTATTTTTAATTTTTACTTTAAAATTTCTTACTTGGTATTTGGGTAATCGTAGTCCACGAACAGATTGCGTTCCCAAAATTATTGTTTGATGAAAGTCAATCAACAATTTTAAACGCATAAATTTACTGAAAAGTAATTAAAAAAATTAATAATACAGATTTAAATAATTGTAACAAATAAAATAGCATTTTTTTTTTAATAGATAGATTAAATGTATGTAACTAATATTAAAATCTGTTTATGTTGATATAAAACGTACATTGTATAAATTAGTTTAATACTACCTATCATACCAATATAATGCATATTTAATATACAGATACAATTAATACTAATGACTGAATTGTTGTATCCAAGCAGATTTATTTTGTTCTAAGTAAATATTATGATATATATTTATTTGGTAAAATCGTATTTTTTAAAAACTTTTGACTTGTATGATGTACCAAAGTATTGTGTATTATTTATAACATATTAAGATATCGATTGTGTAAATTACGATATTGTTAGTCTCTCACATTCAACAACAAAAAACATTTATATTTCTAACATGATAAGTAATAACTAATTAAATTACATTAAACTATTAATATAATTGATATACTTTTAAGCAAATATAATTATTTATAATATGTTTAATTATGTAAAACAGGTAGTCAATCATTATTAATGAATATATAATAATAAAATATTTTATGTTATTAATATATAGTAAAAGTCTAAACAGTACTTTATGATAGACAACTATGACTATATTATGTTAATTAGTTGACTGTATAACACTATAGGCGTATTCAATAATAATTTTCTTCACACAGTACGTTTACTTAAGTGTAATTTATATTTTTACACTAACCCTGATCAACATCACAAAAAAGTAATAATATTTTGGTAAATTACAAATAATAATGTATATAACATTTAATATTTAATAAGATTTTAGCGTAACACGGCCGTAAAATAAAACAGTATTTATATAAGTTTTTATATTGTATAATATATTGAGCAAATGCATATATAGCACAAAACAAATTACATACATATTATTAGTCATTAAAAAATGTAATGAATACAATTTAAAAAAATTTCAGATTCTGTGGAACACCACTGATATAAGCTATTATAGTTTAAGTGTTATACGGTGTCTTTATTATTATTATTATATTTAAATTTAAACTATTTACTGTAAATCTATATCCCACCAAAAACATATATGTAAAATGAGAGCCAAGTTCAATACTATAATATATGCCTTGGTTGTTGACTTCAACGACAAAAGAAGTGAGATCTAAATGGGTGCCAAGTTAGGATAATATATTGAAGCCTAAGGTGTGACTTGGCTACTTTTCATATACGAATTATTATTATAAGTACCTACTAAAACAGTAATGGAAGAGTGAAGATGATTTTCCGAAGAATAAAATAAGAACTCAAAGCTTTAGAACTTGCAAATGCTATAATATATAATTCGTAGCCAAGTCAGACCTTAGGCTTCAATATATTATCCTAACTTGGCACCCATTTAGATCTCACTTCTTTTGTCGTTGAAGTCAACAACCAAGGCATATATTATAGTATTGAACTTGGCTCTCATTTTACATATATGTTTTTGGTGGGATATCATTACTTTTTGTATGTAAATTGTTATAACCTAACCTAACCTAGCCATGACGTATTCTATAAATAAAGTTTATTACAATATAATATAATTCAGTTACTAATATTAATAATAATATTTATTATAAAATATTTTCCGTTGTATATACAGAGTATAAAATATATGTAAAATTAATATACAATTATTTTAACTCTTTTTGAGTATATTTTTAATTATCATAATTTTATTGACTGTAGTTTCTACTGTTGGGTGGATAATTCATAATTTGTAAGAATAATTATTTAATTATTTTAATTGTAATATTTAAAAAAAATAATATTAATTACATACATAGATAGAAAAAAAAGTATGTCGCTGCGCGCGGGTCGACAATATCGACACATATTGGGCTAGCCGTATTTTTGGAGCGGCGATACGGGAAAGGTTATTGAAGTCAACATTACATTAAATTAGAGGAAATTCATTAATAAATTGTAAAATTAAACATAATAGATAAAATAATTGCAAAATTATAATAAAATCAATTGATTAAAAAATTAAAAATTAAAAATTAAAAAATTTTAAATTAAAAATTTTCAAGTTTCTGATTTTTTCCTTTGTATTTACCTAACTACCTATCTGTATGCCAAATTTGAACTTTCTAGGTCATCTGGAACTGGGTTAGAATTTTGATCTATAGGTAAGTCAGTGATAAAAATGACGATTTTCGGACGTTAATATCTAAATAACGGTTTGAAGTGTATTTATGAAATTTAGAGCACATATGTATCTCGTTAGTCTCAATATATGAGCCAAATTTGACATGTTTATGTGGAATAGTTTTTGAGTTATGAGGGGGTCAAAAGTGGCTCCAAATGGTTCGTGTAATATTACACACGGTGCTGCTCGCCAGTTCTGTTAGCTAGAACTTGGCTTGACACGCTACCGTGTGTCTAGATATTAAATATTATAATTATGTATATTTTAAACTGTATGTCTGTACCATACTGTATATTTAAAATTAAATTGGAATTATAATTAGTTAGGTATATAAAGTATATTATTATTATTAACATTAATATATTATTTGTTTGAACAATTTTGAATTGTACCAATTAGTAATTTAGTTATTTGTTGTAGGTATTAATCATAAATTAAATATAAATTCTTATGTAATTATATTTATTAGAATTATTAGATAGAAAATACATTTATTATAAACGTATATAAAGGTAGGTACTATATAAGTAACTGTAACATAGCTATTCCAAATTAAGTGTTATTTATTTATTATGATAACGCTTTGGAGGGTAAACAGTTGGTTAACTAACATAGACAACATATGTGTGTAGTTATATTGTATATTGTATTATGTGCCAAGTTGAGGTAATTTCTAATCTATAGACTTTAACGATACTGGATGAAACTTTGAGATATGCTTTTAATAAATTTATTTTATAATAAGCTATTAAATGTTTATTAAAATACAACTTGTAACAGGGGTCGGGTTCTAGGTATAAGGCTTAAATAATAATATCAGTTCAAGTTCAGATATATAATTCGGAGGCAATTGAGGAAAAACTAAAATTTTCACGCAAAACCAGTATTAGAAAAAATCAATTTTGTGTTTTGGTGTAACTCTAAAAAAAATACTTAGATACATTAAATACTCAAAATATTCTGGAATTTTTTTAAACGTAAGAAAATGTTGTCATAATATAAAATCAAATCTATGGTAGGTTGTTATGGTACTTACAATCTATAGGTAAAGTGCCTACAAGGTTATAATTTGTAATCATATTATATCATCATTAATAATGTATGAATAATATTCTATAATTGGTAATATTGATATTTATACATTATTATAGGCATGTAAGTATATATATACTTGGTATATGTATTTCATTATTTGCACAATTTTATACTTGAAAGTTAATACCTAGTTTAATAATATAAACAATTTGATAGATACTCTTCTTCGGTACTACAGTATAAAAATGAAAATTAGTATCTCAAATTTTTCTTTTTATCATTTGTTTTTATGACCCTAAATTGATGGATGCCCTCGAGCACTTGTCCTCTTTGCGCCCCCCCCCCCCTCTAGGACGGCTATGATTATATTGTAAATAAAAAATTAAGTATTAAGGTATAAAACTTTAAACATTATGTTTACAATGTTCACATAATTGCACACTTCAATAGAATTTTATTTAGTATTTTGTGTCATAAACTTACCAGCTATGTCCCAAAATGAATAACATCCAATTGTCAGAACACTGAATTTCCAAACTTGTTAGATGTTCTTTGAAATTTATGTACAGATGTTCCGTGCTATTATAATTGGATACTGGCTCCGCAGCATATTACCTACAAATTAAGAGTTTGTTAAAAATATGTCAGTGCACTATTGACTATTTGTTTTCTCTCTGACTTATGAGCAACATAACAAATTTGTGTAGAGCAGATCCAATTTTGTAATGTTAGCTTTAATAAACATACTATAGTAAAAATATTTTCTAAAGGTATATTTATATATATTTTATTTTTAAAGCAAGTTATGAGTATTTTAAGTACCTAATATAATTTATTTAACATAGTATAATGTTATAATATAACTTAATGATATCAGACAATGAGATAACCCACTATTAAATTAATAAATCAATAAAATCCCATGAGGTGTCCACAATAATAATCTTACCTTTAAGTCTTAGTATTCACTTTAATAATTTACTTGAATTGCAATATTTATAATGTACACTTGGTCTGTAGAATTGTCTTAAAGAAAATCAACTTCTCAAAAATGTTCAATACATTGGCTCGACTTCCTAGTTCCTCACAGGTACCTACATCATATTATTATATTTCAGTTTTGAAAACCATAATAAAATACAATGTGTATAAGGTATTTTTGTGAACTAAAAACAGTAACAGTTAATCATTAAGTTACTTTCAGCAAATATTTAAAATGTTAGAGAATGGCATGTGTCGTGTTTGAACTATTCAAATTTGAGACGCGAGTTAGACAATAGAGTGTAGACATACAGAATGTCTGTAAAGCAAAAAGTCAAAAGCTACTCACTAACGACTAATCAGTAATACCTAATTATCATGACAAAAAAAAAAAGGTATGTCAGCAATATATTATTTGATACGCATGACATATGGCGGTCGGCTTGCGCCTATTATCAATTTTTCTCTTATCATAATATCATATAAATTGTAAACAATGTTAGTTAGTTTCTAATAATCTTGAATTTATTGTTAATACGTTCGACGTCGTTCTGAGCCCTGGAAAATAATTTCTGATTTTTTGAAATATGAGAATTTTTATTTAATTTTATATATTTGTTTTGTAAAAATAAAACTAAATAGACAGGTAGTTAAGTTACTGGTCACATGTAATGGTGAAATGATAGTAGGTAGTACATTCATATTAATATATTATTATTCATTCTTATATATTTTGTAATTTTTATTTGTAAATAATATAGGTAGTACATACAAATTGTATCATTTTATTAATTTTTTAATTTTTTTTTTATCTCTTGTTTGAAATTGTTGGTCTATGATTTGTCTATTTAAATTGTTGAGGCGAATGTATGCACGAGTTCGGACTAAACACTGAACAACCTCTGTTGGGATATTAAAATGTTCAATGTGTGGTGTCAGTGTATTGGTAAGATTTTTAAATATTTGTTTTTCATTTGACAGACCGTCTCCATGCAAGTTTTTGAAATATTTTTCCATTATTTGTACTTCTTGGAAAAGATTATCGGATGAAGTCTTAAGATTGCCTTTACTAACAAAGTCTATCCAATTTGGATTTTTCGGTGACTTAGGACTCCCAACTAATTCGGGATACCTGGTAGAAAAACGACTTGCAACATATCCTGCTACATACTGTGCGATCTTTGCTTCTATCTGGTCAAATGGCTCTTCAACTTCCATCTGAAATAATAATCAGTAGGTATTTTTAAAAATCTTACTTTTTAAAATATGGATTACAACGTTTAATATGTTTTTATTTATATTTACCTCAAACTGTTGTAGATCATGAAGCAGTTGTGGAACTACCATATCTACTACACCTTTGCTGTATTGAATTTTAGCTGTATCTTGTGTGTCTTCATTCAATATAGAACTTTGTATCATCTCCTGTGTGAGGGTTTGGCAATCATCTAACTCTAGTAAATTAGATTCTGAGCTTTCTTCTACATTGGTGTTATTGGTAAATATAACATCGGAATGTTTACCAAGTATATACCACCTTAGACTAAAGAATTATGTTTTATATATTATTAGCTATACATAAATTACATTATAACCATTAATGTTCTAAGTTATCGAAATTTAATACCAGTATTTAAAGTCTAGTGCTACCACTTGCACTTCCGCTCATCCCTTTTAAAAAACTAAATAGATGTTCCAAAACGTCTTGTTTCAATTTTCGAGTTAATATGTAATCATGCCCGTGATATTTTTGTAAATCGAGGAATACATTTTTCAGAGACCAATTGCATATTAAAATTTCTCTATTAAAAGAAACCATACATATTAATGTATCAATAATGGTTAGGTTAAAAGTCAATTTTACCTTTCTGGAAAGGTAAAATGTTTTTTTCTTTTCCTCCAGATTTACAATTATGTACCCTCATGTTTTGTATGAAACTACTCATTTCATCTAGGATATCATTTTGACTGTTCAAATTCAGAACTAACCATGGTTGTTAGTTACTTTTAATTTTAGGCTCGTTATAGAGCAAGGCATTAGAGGGAATTCACCTATTATAAATCTTTAACCCTTCAAAATCTACGAGGTTAAGATACTCAGAACATTGCCTGTGTCCCTGCATTGAGTTTCATGATATTTTAATTTTTATATAATTTATAAGCATTTTAAACTGTAATAATTTAAACGCTCATTTACTTAGTACCTACTTACCTCATAACTTTTAGTTGTACCAATTTCTTACACACACACAGACACACACATAAATTGTTATTTTTATTATTAGAAAATATTATATGACCTCTTTTTTAGCACATCACTAAAATATGGTACAATTTTACCAACTTAGGTTATTTAACCAAGTAAATATTTTATAATTGAGAAATAATAAAATACAAATTAGAAACTAATATGAAATAAAGATAAACAAACTAATAGGTACAATCCTATTGTAAGTAATGAATGGTTGGTTATGTAAGTTAGGTGTAATTTTAAACTTATAAATTACACATATAGTAAAATTGAATGTATTACCTAACATAAAATTAGGTACATAAGTAACTAAGTCATATCTTTAAAAATGGGGATTAACTAGGTAGTTAAAATGTTAGAATTAAAAAAAAGCTAAATGTTTTAAAATTAAATTAAATTCAGAATGTAACCAGCTAAATTTATTATTTATTAACCATCAACGTTTGACTTAGAACAAACTTGTGTTCACTTAACCTAGCTTAACTTGAGTTAATTATATCAACATGCCCAGATTTTGCAAATCTTAGTGTTAACTCCACCATTGACGGTCCTCAGTCCATATGAAAAATGAGGAAAAGTGTTTTAAAGATATTTTCCTTTAAATTAATGATCTTTCTCTTGGTTTTAAAGTAATGCATTGTTCTTTTAAATTGTTTTACAATCTTAATATTACTATTTATATTGTGTTTTTCTTATTTTTTATTTTTTTTTTGTAGGATATAATACCATACTACCATTGTCCAATTTTGAAGAAGTAGGTACCCAAATTTAAGAGTACAAATCTTCAAGGACCAGGATGATGTAGATGTGAATTTGAAAGTAACATCATATACCTAGTTCACACTTCAGACATTTAGTTATACATGATTTATAGAAATTGGATTCATTAATTTTTGGATATTGAAAATAGCTTTATGATAAACATTAGTAAAACCATAATAAATGTATTATCTATCTAATAATTGTATTTTGTATTAAATTTTATTAAATAAGATTTTATATTTAATTTATGAGTAACTAAATTATTCACTAGTACAATTTGAATATTCCAATACAAAATTATTCTTTGCATGTAAATTTTTCTAAAACGAAATATATTAATATTCAGAATACTTAATAATAAACTTTATATACCTAACAGAATATAATTCCAATTTAATTTTAAATTAAAGTACAAAATATATATATGTTATTATAATATTTAATATATAGATTTATAGTAAATAGTTTAAATTTAAATGTAATAATAATAACAATGACACTGTTTAACACTTCAACTATAATAGCCTATATCAGTCTTGTTAAACAGATTCTGAAATTTTTTAAATTACTTTTATAATGTTTAGTGACTAATATATATATGTAAACTGTTTTGTGCCATATATACATTGTTTAATATTTTATACAATTAAAAAACTTACATAAATACTGTTTTATTTTACGGCTGTATTATGCAACAATCTTATAAAATATTAAATGTTATATAAATTATTATTTATTGTATACTACCAAAATATTATTACTTTTTTGTGATGTTGATCAGGGTTAGTGTAAAAATATAAACTACACTTAAGTAAACGTATTGTGTGAAGAAAATTATTATTGAATACGTCTATAGTGTTATACAGTCAACTAATTAACATAATATATTATATAGTCATAGTTGTCTATCATAAAGTACTGTTTAGACTAATAGTATATTGCAATAATATAAAATATTATATTATTATATATTCATCAATAGTGATTTACTACCTGTTTTACATAATTAAACATATTACAAATAATTATATTTGCTTAAAAGTATATCAATTATATTAATAGTTTAATGTAACTTAATTAGTTATTACTTATCATGTTAGAATTATAAATGTTTTTTGTTGTTGAATGTGAGCGGCTAACAATATCGCAATTTACACGATCGATATCTTAATATGTTATAAATAAATAATAATATACAATACTTTGGTACAACATACAACTCAATTAAGTTTTTAAAAAATATGATTTTACCAAATAAATATATATCATTATATGTACTTAGAACAAAATAAATCTGCTTGGATACAACAATTCAGTCATTAGTATTAATTTTATCTGTATATTAAAATATGCATTATATTGGTATGATAGGTAGTATTTTGATTTGAATTTCACAATATAACTTCAGCAATATTTCCTTGGTCCAGGGTAAAAAGGGCTTAAGTACATTTTACTAACTTTTTTTTAAAAGCGGTATTAAAGTTTGAAAATTCCTACTTTGTGCTGACTTAAGCCCTATTCATCCACGACTTATGTCTTTTGGATTTCACTTATTTTGACACTTTTTGTCCAAGCATTGAAGCATCATACAAATTTTCTACCTAACGTAGAAACGTTTATGTTTAGATATGCCCCATTTATTTTTTCAATGATATGAGTAATATTCGTCACTGACTTTTGCCAAATGTGCCAAAAAAATCAGAAAAAAATTAAGCTTTACATCCTTAGAAAAATTTTTTTTGTGAAAAATTACCTAAAGCCCTTTCTACCCGGGAGCAAAGACTTATACGAGATAAATATTTCAATTTTAAAAACATTGAACTTAAACAATAACATATTATAATGATTTATTTTTATTGTTAATTATTCAAATAATAAATTGTTATACGTAAGATTGTTTATTTAAGTTCAACTATTTGACATGTAGACTGTACAGAATAATAATGAATAATAAATTAATTATTTTATATAATGCTTACCTGCAACTACCTAAACACATAAAAAATACATAAGTATATATAGTTTAATGTTAATACTTTGTGTCTTACTAGTTACTATGTTAACACTCATAGTCTAAATACCACTGCCAAATAAATAACTAAGTACACAATAATATGATTGGAAATTGATTTCATTATATTATACATTTTACATTTATACTCAGTACCTAGTCAGTTGTGAAATTGTATTTGTATATAATAATTTAATTACAAAATTATTTATGCTGTGATATAATATTAAAAATTTAAATATTTTTAAATTCTGAGGCCAGTGATAATATTATAATTTGTTGTTTATACCTAACTGATATATTTTTCATCATGATAATGATATAAACCGTTTTTATTTACTGTATCTTAGCATATCTAGTAGCTCTGGAAAAGGTCTTCAAGACGGTAAGACCTAATCAAATATTGACGAATTAGAGGATTTGTGTTGTATACTTATATGTTTTTATTTATTTATTATATAATTTGTATTATCGTTGTGTTAATTATGATCATAATATTTTGTGTTAGTTAAATGCAGATTATATGATATTATAAAATACAATGCACATAATATGCATATAATTAATATAAAATGGAAGTAAAAAAAATTACAATAATGATGATGAGGTCTTATTACTAATTTTTATAATAGCTTGATTAGTTTTATATTATTATTATATTTTCCGCTGAATATTTGTTTGTTTGGGTGCACACTGATCGGTCGGTCATAATGCATGACTATTGTTGTTTTCCTCCGGCATTTGTTTCTCCGCCATCGTTGTCTGGACCATGTTGTTTGACGACCCCATCGAGCATTAATTTTAATTGATGATGATAAAGACGTACCATCGCACATTGGCATGTATCTGGCCCGCATTTACTTATGATAACCGACATCTCTGGCCAGCAAATCCGTTTATTTTTCGGACAAGAAGTGTAATGATTGTTTTTTTTTTCAGATCCACATCGGCCAGCCAGTTCTTTTAACTTCTCCAAGAATGCAGCAAATTTCAACGGTTGGCACGTAGTGAATTTCGACGATTGGCCGCAGTTCATGTGATCGGGATATAGTGTTTGAATTTCAGCGATTCTCTCTTGAATTTCTTTCAATAAATCCATGTTTTGGTTGCGACTATAATATTATAATATTATACAATATGCTATAATTTAATAAATATTATTATATTTAAAACACGCGAATGTAAATTTCCCATACACTGCTAATCGCGGACCGCGGATTACTCATCTTAATGAAGAAACACGATTGTCACGATTGATAAACACATTGATAACCAAAGATTCGGGACTTCACCAAGTGTGGTAACTGGTAACACCTGGTTAAGCGCTGTTAATCACAAGCCTACAAAATATGCCATAGTTTCGGTGGCAAGTATTAGGGCCAGTATTACCATCTCCAGTTAAATTTAACGGACTCCTAACCAGTGGAATTCGGCCGGTAATAAAATCTGTTATCAGTTGGTTAAGCGTAATCGAAGTGTAATCAATGATTGTAATACTGGCCCATGAACATTAGAGGAAGGACGCCGAACACAGCAGAACGAAGCGTAAAAACATGGTCCGGAATTATCGCATTCCGCCAGAATGCGCGTCGGACCGTAATGATGTCGTTTTTACATATTGTATAGCACAGGACATTTAATGGTTTTTTATTATTATAATCTAAATGGTGAAATTTATGAATAATTACTATAGAACATTTTTTTAAAACCAAATTGCCCTCGATCGAATATAAGTGTTTCCAATAATATACGACTTTTATAAAAAGAGATAACAACTATATCTTTTTTTATAAAAGTCGTATATTATTGGAAACACATATATTCGATCGAGGGCAATTTGGTTTTAAAAAAATGTTCTATAGTAATTATTCATAAGTTAAACCATTTAGAATATAATATTAAAAAACCAATAAATTCCCTATGCTGTACATGTAAAAACGACATCATTACGGTCCGACGCGCATTCTGGCGGAATGCGATAATTCCGGACCACTTTTATATACACAGTTCGGCGTCCTTCCTCTAATGTTCATGTACTGGCCCTTACTGTTGCGGAGCCACGTGTGTGATAAGATAACATTTAAATAATTACCGCGTGAATTTAAATATTATAATCATTATTATTAATACAAGTAAATAATAAAATTGAGTATTGTAATTTTTATATCCTAAATTTAAATTATTATACTTATAACAAAAAATGTAAGAATAATTCTAACATGTCCTACGAAAAAAAAAAAAAAATAATAATAATTTATTAAACTTTATCTAATACGTCCTACAAAAATATAATACGACATAAAATTAATATAATTAATTTTAATTCAATATTGTTTGTTACTTTTTTTTACAGTTCATTACCCGAACATAATTCATAATAATGAATAATTCAAATTTATCTTGATTGTAATAAAGATCATTGATATTAAACTATTAAAGATACAATTATATACAACGCGGGAATTCCTATGTATATAGATAAAGTTTAATAAATTATTATTATTATTATTATTTTTTTTTTTGTAGGACGTGTTAGAATTTTCATTATTACATTTTTTTTTTTAAAGTATAAGTATAATAATTTAGATTTAGGATATAAAAATTACAATACTCAATTTTATTATTTACTTATATTAATAATAATGATTATAATATTTAAATTCACTCGGTAATTATTTGAATGTTATCTTATCACCGACGTAGATATCGAATAAATACATGAACAGTGGCTCCGCAACAGTAATACTTACCACCGGATCTATGGCATTTGTAGGCTCGTCTGTTAATCGCGGTTAGTGTCAGGATCATAATATTATCAACAAGCGTATTTACATCTGCTAAATGATTGTCTCAAGGTGGATTGATATCAATCCACCTTGGATTGTGTTTTTTTTTTATGTCTGTGGAGCACGGTCTTAGAATAATAGGTCTGGCAAGTCGACACCAGAATAGTGTTTTTATTACGGTAAAAATCCAGATCTAGCGCAGTGCTGCGCTCAGCGGCGTCCGCAGGATTTTTCAATGGGGGGAGAGGGGGGGGGCTTGACTATTAGTTATAATTTAATTTTTATTTTGTCCAGTCTAATAATTGCAGACGTTTATTTGGGGTTTTTTAAAATGTTAGTAACTTTTCAACTCTTCTGGCAGAAAAAATGCTCTGATCATAAGCCCAGTGTATGTTTTTGGAAGCAAATTGGATCTAGTTAGTACTTTTAGGAGGTTGAAATTGAAAATTCCTTTGTGCTTTTAAAAATAATTGGAAAAAAAAAATGAACATTTATTTAAATTGTTTGGTAACAAGCTTAGTTATACCGTCATCACTTGGATTGTAATTGATTAGTTAAATTTCTTTTTTTTCTATAAATGTCAATAAAAAATTATTTATCTGGTCAAAAATTTTAAAAATGTAATACTTAAGTTTTTTTATTATAGCTAAAATATTAACAATACATAGGCATCATGGTTATTAGATTCTGAGTGAAACGATGAATGTATTGATTTTACAATGATGTGTGTTTTTTTATTTTTTTATTTTTTAATTTTTTTTGTATCTGTGTACACGATAAGTAGTCGAAATAATGCTTCGATTTTCGACTTCAGTATCTTGTTCGATTGGAAAGTGAATATCGTTGGTGCATTGGGGAGGTCAAAATTTAAATTTCCCAGTAGTTTTCACAAGCGCCGGGAAAAACAACATAAAAATTAAGGAAAAACGGGAATTTTTACGCAAAATTGATTTTCCAAAAAATCGATTTTGGTTATTGGTGTAACTCTAAAACAAATGAACGTATATACATGAAATTTTCACTGGTTGTTTATATTTGCATTTTCTATACACGATAACATTTTCAAAATATTTTGATTTATTTTGAACTGTTTAGGGACATTTTCATTTTTCATTTTTCATTTTTTTTAGTTTTTTTTCTAAAAATATCAATAAAATTTTATTTGTTGGTTAAAAAACTTGAAAATTTAATAGAAGACTCCTAGTATATTGTTTCAAAGGCAGATAAAAAATATTAAAAATCGTTAGTCACAGTTATTTTTTATAAGCATTTAAAGTTCAAAAATTGACAAAATATGGAAAAATCACGAAAATTAGCAAATTATTTTGAGTTAAGAATTCGCAAAAATATTTCTTTTTAAATCTAAGATTTGAAAATCTAATACAAGATTACTCATAAGATTGTCTACCTTTATCAATAAAAAAATTTCTACCGGAAAGTCAAATTAAATTTTTATGAGCGTTTGAAATTCAAATTTTTACAACATTGGATATTCACTCGATTTCTCATGTGGCAATTTCCTTTTTTTGTTGTAATTAAAAAACGAATTACTGTAGATACATGAAAATTTCACTGAATGTTTATATTAGCATTTCCTATACACCCTACAATTTTGAAAATATTTTGACACTTTTTGAGCCGTTTACGGACATTTTCAGTTTTCAATTTTTTTAGTTTTTTTTTTCTATAAATATCAATTAAGTTTTATCTGTTGGGCCAAAAAGTGTAAAAATTTAATACAAGGCTCCTGATATATTGTTACAATATCAGTTGAAAAATATTAAAAATACATAGGCACAATTTTTTTTTATAAGCATTTTAACATCGAATTTTGATAGAATTTTTCAAAATCTCGAAAATTATTAATCATCGTAATTAATAAATTAAAAAATGTTCAGTTTTTATAGCTAAGGATTGAAAATTTAAAACAAGATTCCACGTAAGTAGTTAATTCTCTTACCGAAAAATCTAAAAAATATACAATCACAGTTTACTTTTATAGTCATTTTATGTTCAAATTTGGACGAAATTACATATTAAAAAACCTAGTTATTTTGTTGTGATTATATAATATTATTCGTGGGTACCTACTTGAAACTTCTAAAGTGTACTATTATATATATATGATAGTATCAGGGTTTGTTGTTGATGTTGATGTATAACGTGTTATAAGTACCTAATGGATATTGTGATAATGTGATATGATTAATTTGGAATTTATTATAGGTCAATTTTTTTTTTAATACCATAGATATGTATATAATTTGTATTAAACCTAGACTGACATACAGTCTTCGCTCAGAATCGTTTTTCTTATACAATGATATTGTATCATTGAATTCAAATTTAATAGCATCCATTATACAGTGACCCACTTGTAACCTACTGTACTGCAGAGCGACATCCACTTTTTTTTATATGCATTTAAAGTTCAAATTTCGTCAAAACCACGGTTAATTTGTAGTTCAAAACTTATAAAATATAAAATATGTATATCTAAGGCTAGACAATTTAATACAAGGTCTTTCATACAAGTAGTTCATACTTTTACCGAAAAATTACAGATAATTTATGAAAATTGGTAGGTATGCAAATTCAATGTTTTTTCAAAAATTAATTCATTCTGGTAAGACATTTATGAGATTTATTATAGTTGACAGTTTAAACTTGATTAATATTTTTTTGAAAAAAGTAATAATAATACGGGCAATGGTGGGGGGGCTTCAGCCCGTTAGCCTCCCCCCTGCGGACGCCACTGGCTGCGCTCTAGTAGTTTGTTGTACGAACGCTAATCAATATTGGATTGTATAGATCTATATAGTATAGATGATGCACTAAACGCTCCAATTATGTATATACTTTTTTTAAATGTTTTATTAAATAAGGGCATTAAATAGATAGGTATAATTTAAGTAAATATAATATAATATATTCTATGTTCTGTATTATAGATTATACAAAAGTCTTAGAATAATATAACACGATGCACAAAGCTAAGCGATATAAGTTTTAAGCATTAATACTAAACAAAATGTATTAATATTAATAATTATAATAAAATTATTTCAAACATTTTCTTAGTTAACTACTACATGTTTGTTACTTCATTCATTTAAAATTCCCCAATTAGGTTGCATATTATGTAAAAAAAATACTGAAGGTATTACTAGTTTTTCCGTATTCCTGCATACTCTATTGCCTATTCTTGTCTTACAAGGAGTTTTAATAAAAATATTTATTTTTCAGATATAATTCAAGATGGATGAATAATAATGATTATTATTATTGAGATTACAATTTACAATATTATTAA